TCTGACAATATTCCCCATCTATAGGCCATGCCCTGATGGCTTCCTTCATGCGTCACCTATCTGTGCTCGCTAGGCAGTATGGGCTGCTCATTTTCGTAAGTATCATAGATCAATTTACTTACGACTAATGGATTCATTACTGCACGTACAGTTGATCAATACTGCGACTCGTGTTCGCGTACCGCCACCAGAGCCAGGCGAACCTGTTCCCAAGCCAGCCTACAAACCATCTCTCGGCCCTTCATTCTCGCATATGACGGACATGTCATTATTCCTAACTCGTGGGGATTCCAATGGTGTAAATAGTAGGGGTACCCGGTTGGCACTTAGAGTGCTCAAGAGCCGCGAGTCGGTATGCCTACCTTCTGTTCCAAACCTGAGAATCCACCAACTGATTTTATCTCGAAGAACGCCGGCATTTGCGTCTATTTTGGTATTAGAAATGATAGCATTATCGAGTGAAAATGTAATGCAATAAAAGGCACTTGGTGAAGGGCACCATAGACCATCTCGTCGATTGATTGATCAGGCCTTATTCTCAGTAATCGGGGAATACTATCGTGGTCAACCATCAATTTGTTCTACTCTTGTTTGGCTCGGTTCGCTCAAAGGTTTGGGACAATAAGTCAGTGCACCCATAGAGCCACCTATGTCATTCTACCAGAGGAACTTTTGCCTAGGACACAATCACCCGGCCAGGTTCGGAGACGTCGCCATTTACACGCTCTCAAACAAGGCCGGAAACCCAAGTAATACGCGAGTTATAGGAATATAAGCATGTGCTACCCTCCGAATCCATGTTTCGTAGCTAGTGCAAATTTGAATCGAATGTGAACGCATTCAGGTGACTTTTGGTATATCGAGTGGGCACAAGCCTTCTAGAGTCACCCAAATGTAGAGTTGTGCATAAAATCTGAGATAACAGAGATGAATTCATGTTTCCTATGTCCTCAATGAATAGTAGCAAAGGGTGGTGAAAATTGTTAGCGTTGACACTGACTTTAAACTTACAACGACTTGACCCTGCAGAGACCGCGGAGGTTATGATTTCTGGACTCGGATGAAGAAGAAGCCGGTCTACATGGGGCCGTCGAAGCTGCTGGAAACGATGTCGTCGGGCCTGAGGTAAGCTCTATTCAAACTCAGGTTGGACTCAGTCAGCCATATCCCATAATC